CAAATAAAATTGAATTTAATATACGTTACTCTAGTCCACCAACTTTCAAAGTGTGAAATGTAGTAGGTGAAATAAATAATTTTATTTTGTAAATTTTCGAGGTGTTACAATCTCCCCTTAAATTAATTTCGTGGCAAAATTATCTTATCTAGGTGAAAAGTCCTAGGACCTTGATCTCTTCTTTCCCAAACTTCAAAAAAAAAAAATTTACCTTCTACTCAAAGTATCGAATTGTCACGTAAATGTTTCCCACCTAATCTATTCCTAAGATGGCATAAAAACTTTAATCTCTAAAATTTATATGTTATCTATAAAATCTTTTCCATTCATCTTGATAGTCTTAGTCACAGATTGGTATTAAACGTATTGTCTAATGGGGTAGTAACTTCTAGAATACTAACAGCTTCACAAACAGTACAATATTTAGTAATAATATAAATAATGAATGAGTGGCTCCGGAGTATATAAGAACATAAGCAAGTAGTTTAGATATTAATAGAATACCTACCTTCATGTCTTAATTTTCAGTTGCCTCCTGCTGGGTCAAGGTAAACACTCTGGCTGTCCCATTTTTGCTTTATTCGTTGTCCCCCTTTGGTGAGGGTTCATGGCAATTGGTAGCAATATGGCTATGCTTTCCACATCGATAGCACACATTCTTTCCATACCAACACTCGCCTCTATGGGCCTTATTGTACTTAGGACATGGAGTAAGAACATTATTCGACTTACTTGACCATGACCATTTTTCAAAACTAGCCCTCTTGTTTTGTTCATTTCTCTTATCTTCTTTTTGCCCATTCCATTTCCTTTTTCTTGAAAATTCAGTACTTTTTTAACTGTTTGATCCATTTCCAGTCGATTTGATATTGACTAAGCTCGTTGTAGAACCTGACTTTACATGGTAAATTCATGCAATGCTATGATTTCTCCAATCTCAGGGCGTAGTCCGAGTTCGAACCTTCTAGATTTCTTCTACTCTATATTCACCAGATGTGTCGCATACCTAGCAAGTTGTTCGAATTTCCTCTCACAATCGACCAATGTCATCCTTCCTTGCTTAAGTTGCAGAAATTCTGTCTCCTTACGATCTCGCAAGGCTTGTGGAAAATATGTTCCCATCACCTCTTCTTTGAAACCTGCCCATGTGAATTCACGTTGTTGTGCCTCGGTCCTAGTGCATGAAACAGACTCCCACTAGTGGCCCGCTGCATCGAATAGCATGGACTTTGCACATAAAACTTTTTCGGTATTAGTGCAGGAGAGGTGCTTGAAGATACGTTCCAAACCCCTTATCCATTCCTTGGCTGCCAAAGGGTCAGCCACCCCGTTAAAGGTAGGGGGCTTGCAATGTCGAAACTGTTCCACGACTGAGCTCGTGGTGTTGGAGTTAGTTTGTGCATTCTGGGGAGGCGCTTGTGTTTGTTGCCTACCAAGATCTTGCACAACTCTCAACAAATCCTTAAACATAGCAGCATGTGTTGGTTGACATGCCATTCCCTTAAATCCACCAAATAAATCTCGTTTTAGAAATAGTCAACAACATCTCAATATATTCAATGAAAAACTCAGTTTTGTGAAAATTTAAATCCTAGAATACATGAGGGACGATTGAAAGAATTAAATTGTAGACGATGAAGAAAACCTATGGATTATTCCAAGCACTGATTACTTTTTTTTGGGAACAAAATCATTTATTTAAACTAAACCATCTCTAGGTTGCTAATCTTCATCTGCAATTGTCCAACCATTTTGAATCCTACGTAGCTTAGATGAAAGAGCTTCATCGTTCAACGATTTACATGACTCAAGCTCAGATTCTTGGTCAACTTCTAGTTCAGGGTCTGGCTCGAACCCTAGCTCGTGCTCTGGTTCTGGCTCTAGTCCAGGTACATACTCCCGCTCGTTCTCTGACTTCAAATCAGATTCATAATATAGCTCATCTTCTGGGTCTTCCTCTGGGTCCTCCTCTAGTTTGAGTTCAGTTTCGAGAGTAGAAATCCACCTATCTAGAAAGGTTTCACAGTACAGCTCGAACTCAATCATTTTTGGGTGCTCCGGAGGGTTACCCTCTAGTATTTCGTCTCTAACCACAATGTCCATGTCTCCCCATTGAGGTAGCAGTTTGTGGATAAGATTGTTAACAGCTTGAAGGGGTGCAACCTCATGTCCTACACCCCTTGCCATAGTATACTTAGCGAAGACTTCCTCCACACGCTCAATAAGTGTGTGAGTCGGGTCTGCCTCATAATTCTCGTATGCTTGGATAACCGTTGCCCTTTGGTTTAGAACAACTCTACTAGCCCTTGTCTTCCTAGTGGTCTATCTAGTTCTAGCCATGTCGGCCATATACAAGCCAAGTCCAATTATGCGTAATATTTTTATTAATGATAAGACTTCGTCTTTTATGCTTGCATAATTCATTTTAGGGATAAAATAAAATATTAAGCTTTTATCAAAATTTGATTAAAAGTATGTGGAAAAAAGAAAATTATAAGTGGTAACAAATATATTTAGCATCATGCTGACAACTTATACTAGAATATAACATAACATATCATTTCATTTCAAACATTTCTCGAATTAAATATGAGAATGTATATGCTCAAAATTTAAATAAACATTTTACGTACTTCTTCCGTCATATGGTAGTTGATTGGTGAATG